GCAGGAATGGGCCATATTCACAAACCCTCCTATGCACAGAAGCCACTGCTTAGCTTGGCTGATGTGAGTTGTCTACACTTAAAAGTTGCATTTATTCAACAGATTTTTATTGAGCACCTACTCCGGTCAAGTAGAGACTTGGTCCCCTTTCCCTGCAGACAAGTGAGGAAAAACAAAGTATCAACATGAAATTGGACCACTGCATGTCCAGTCTTGCTGGGGCAGGGGTGGAGGTGGGGAGAATTCCATGGTCAAGTCTCAGGGGAAACTGAGGCAGGGAAGCCTTGGCCACTGCTGGGGAGGGGCTCAGGGCCTGAGTGAGGGCCCAGGACTGGCACAGCTCAGGGCCTTGGCTGGCCTGTAATCAGCTCTTCCCTCCCGGCAGTGCCCGAAAGCGTCCCATCCCCTACTACCGGCCCAGCCCCTCGTCCTCCTCCAGCTGCCTGAGCAGCGACTACTCAAGCCGGAGCCCCAGCCCGGGCCACAGCCATGGAAGCTACAGCAGCCGCAGTCGGACCCGCAGCCGCACTCGCAGCCCTTCCAGGACCCCCAGTCCCAGCTACCACAGCCGGAGCAGCTCAGAGAGCGGGGGCTTCTGAGCCCAGCAGACCCAGTTTCGTGCCCCCTGGCACAGGGAGAGGCGAGGGGGTCAGGACCCAGGAGCTGCAGGAGGCCTGCACCCCACTGCTACAAAGAGGTCCCGGGTCCAGGGAAGACCTTGAGGGCGGGGGCCCTGAAGACAAAGAGGATCTGGATTCTGCTGCTTCTAGGGGGCCCCCGCCCTCACCTCCCGCTCGCCCACCTTGGCCAGGGAACAAGAGCCGTTTCGAACACAGGGATCACCCTGCCCCGCTTCCTGCTTGATGCCAGCTCACCAGGCTGGGGACCTCAGCTCAGTGGACCCAGGGACACCTTTGACGGTGCCAGACCTGGGAGCCTCCCCTGCCTCTCCATAGGACCCTCAGCTCCTCTCTACCACTGGGCGGACACGGAGATGGGACAGCAAGCCGGAGCTAAGTTAGACGGGAGGAAGAACGGCCTGACCCTTGGTGCACCACCATGCAGGCTGAGGAACTACTTCCTTCGAGCCGGCTGCAGGAGGACCCTGGCTGAGGGCTGGAGGCTGGCCCCAGAGCCTCCCCAGATGCCTCTCCTGGCCCAGGAGTGCCCAGACTGAGTGGGCCCCTAAGCCCCAGCCTGAGGAGCCAGGGAGCTCACCCTTGGTCGCACCTCTCCAGCCCAGGCTCTCCTCTCCAGCCCTCGCCCCGTGCCCTGGGCCGAGGCCACGCCAGCCAGGCCTTCTGCATGACGGGAGGTGGGCTATACAGACCACAGCTGCACCCGACCCTGAGATCAAAAGGGGTGTTCGGGTCAGGAGGTGGACGGTAGACGGAGGAGGAGCCTGTGAGGGGAAGAGCAACGCAGTCGGCTGACTGAGCGGCCTCGGGGAGCCCCGGTGTGCCCAGTAGCTGGGACCTGGGCCGGGTGGCAGCAGGCCTAGGGTGACGTGCCCTCTGGGGCTGCCCAAGGGAGCAGGGAGCCAAAGGGAGCGCTTCCTCCTCCTCTTCCAGAGAGGGGCGCTACACCCCTTCGAAGAAAGGGTAGAATCTAGACAGAGGGCCTTGGCCTGGGGCATGGATGGGGAAGCAGCGGCCCCCTGCCCTCTACTGCTGCTCCCAGCCCCCTCCTCCTGGGGCCCTCAGGGATCTCACGAAGTCTTCCTTGGCCCAACAGGGCAGATGCCCTGGGCTCCGGTGGGGGGAGGGGTCTGGGGTCTGGTCCGGGTTCCCCCTCTCTGTTTCCCCCTCCTTCTCCGCGGTGCGGATAAAAATTGGACTCTAATAAAACACTTGGTGCCCGGATGGCAGGTGGTGAGACCAGGCCTCTGTGGATTTGGGTACCTGGGGAGTGTGGGGAAGGCAGAGGGTCCTGGGGTCCTTGCCTCTGAGAAATGAGAGGGACTCAGACTCCTCGGGATCAGGAGAAGTGCTGGCACCAAGGGACCGGGACCCAGCATGTCCATCTCGTGTCTCCACGTGTGAGTCTGTGGAGCCTGCAGCTTGGTGGGGAGAAAAGCAGGGACCCAGAAAGGCCTTCTTCCAAGCCGGGAGGCCCTGTGGGCTTTGAATACCCCCGTTCCACCCAATGCCCAGACACCCGGCCTTGCCTCAGCAGTGAAAAGGGGATAGGACAGGCCCACGTGCAGGACCCTGCATAGCGGTGGAGTGTTCAGAACCGCTGGAACATGGCGCAGAGCAACGCTGGCTGTGAATCCAGGCTCCACGCGGGACTGTGAGGAAGCCGAAAGGGGATGTTGTCCTGAGAGTGCCCGGCACAGGGCCTGCCATAGAGCGAGTCATAAGTGGCCACTTAAAAGAAACACCGTGTGTCCAGCCCCGGATGGGTGCTAGGATGGGGATTGGAAAGGGAGGGCTTGGTGTGGCTTTTTACTTTTTCATAGCTACTCACACTGTATTTCTTTCTTTTTTTTTTTTTTTTTTGCTCTGTGGTCAAACTTTGTATGCAGTCAACACAGATTAGCACATAGCAATAACATGTAGACCAGCTAATCTTCCTAACTGTAAGTAAGAACTTTTAAAAGGCCCAAGGAATGGAATCCCCCCCTCACAACACTGACATGTTTGCTCTACATCCTTCCTTTTTTTTTTTTGCGGTACCCGGGCCTCTCACTGTCGTGGCCTCTCCCGTTGCGGAGCACAGGCTCCGGACGCGCAGGCTCAGCGGCCGTGGCTCACGGGCCCAGCCGCTCCGCGGCACGTGGGATCCTCCCGGACCGGGGCACGAACCCGCGTCCCCTGCATCGGCAGGTGGACTCTCAACCACTGCACCACCAGGGAAGCCCTGGATTTCTTTCTTTTATAGAGACCTAAACAAATGTACACACTCTCCTCTTCCTCCTCTCCTTATCTTCCTTCTTTTCTTTTAGTGGTAGATTTTAACCTTGCTTTGAATCAGCTGCTCTTTGGGAATCTGATGGAAGTTGGGAACCCTTTCCTCGAAAGGATGTGCACACGCCCACCATCTGCAGGCAACTTCGGACCTCACAGGCACTCTGCAATCCTTTAGGGCTCCACAGGTCGAGAACCCTGGCCCACCTCTACTGAGAGGGCAGCGGACATGGCCACGGCTCTGGGCTGCGCGTGCCACGACACAGGAGATGTCCTTGGTCTGTTCTGGGCTGCAGAGTGAGGGTGCCGTGCTCTGAAGCCTAGGGCTGTGTCAGCACATGACCCCTCTCTACTTTCTATTCCCTCAGACCGGAAGGGGCACCTGAGGAGGCCTTTGGCCGGTGGCTCTGTTTCTGATCTGAGGAAGCTGGTCAAAGAAGTGTCAGTGATCTCTTTAACCCTTTACACAGGTTCAGCAAAACTAGGCCTCAGGCTGGGAGTTCCCTGGCGGTCCAGTGGTTAAGACTTCACGCTTCCGATGCAGGTGGCATGGGTTCGATCCCTGGTCGGGGAACTAAGATCCTGCATGCCATGTGGCACGGCCAAAAAAAAAAATAAAACAGCTGGGTAGGGGTTGGGGCTCTAGGGAAAGCAGACTTGGCCCTGCTCTGGAGATGCCGTCTCTTGGAGGGGATGGGGGCATGAAACATACCCCCAAGATGGGCATGAAAGTTCAGCCTGTCTCACACAAGCCCAAAGCTGCCCCTTCCCCTTCCCCCCTTCCATTCCCTCACTGCCCAGCCGGACCGCCTTCCTCATCTGCACCCCACAGCCAGGCTGCAACCAGGTGACCAGGCAGTGCCACTTCCTTTTCTGCCCCACCCCCGCTCCTGGCCTCTAACCACGACCCCTCCTAGGCCCACCTCCTCACCAGCTGGCCTGCCTGGGTCTGGCCCCCTCCAGTCCATCCCACCACATCCACAATTCAAATCTGACCATTCCCTCCCTCTTTCCATACATGCTTACTCAACACCTACTATGTGCCATGCCCAGTTCCTGGCTCTGAGGACACAGTATTGAATTAAGGAAACAGAACTCCCCACCATAAGGATCGCATGACCATGTCCACCAGCTCGTAGCACTTGGAAGGCCTTCCGAACGGCGAACGGCTCCACCTGGAATTGCCATCCTCTCCCGCCGCCACCCTCCAACCTCCGCTCCCATCACTGTCCTTGACTCCAGCGGACCCTCCTCCCCGGGGCCCCCTCGGCCCCCCAAGGCATGCCCTCTCCACCTCCACAGGTTCCTGAGAGCTCAGGGTTCCAGGCCCAGCTCAGCTGCCCCCTACTTCTAGGAGCCTTCCCGATCCCCAGCTGCAGTGGCCACTCCCACCTCTGGATTCCTCCAGCCCTAGGCCTGTTCCTGCCTTTAGGGTATCAAGCTCTTGATCCAGTTATTTGTTGGCCGGTCTCTCTCTCCCTAAATCTGTGAGCTTCTGGAGCCCAGGCCATGCCTTCTTATCTCTGCATTCCCCAAACAGGCACCCCTGAGATGTTTGTTGAATGAGTGAAGGAGTGAACGAGGCAACTTTGGCGTGAGGGGTTCCAGCAACCGTGGGGGAGGGTGGAGACCAAAGGCATGGTGGCAGCAGGAAGACCCTAGAGGGCGACAGAGAGACAGGGAAAAAAACTGCTGGTTGGCGGCGCGCCAGGAGGGATACAAAACAGGCCTGGACAGAGAAGAGAGATCCCTGGGGGAGGATCCATGGCAGCCTGGAAGCCTGAAGTTCTTGTCCTCGGCACCTCCCTGGCTACTTGGTGCCCGTTCCACTGAGAAGGACAGGGAGGGTACCAGGCCCCTGTCCCTCCCGCAGATGGAGGGTTCAGACTGAACTCTTCTGCTCTTACCTTGGGAAAGGGGGAAAAACACTGGAAGGCAGGCAGGAAAACAGGAGATTCCAATTCTATGTCGGGTAACAAGACGGGTAGATGGGGGCAGGGGTGGGGGAACCTTAGCAAGATGTGGCATGTGGGGTGTAGGACGTCCTCTCCTCACCTCTCTCTCTGCACTTGGGGCCTCAGGGACCCCTCCGTCCTCCTCCCCGCACACACAGCAGCCAGGAGGCTGGACAAGGCTTTCCCGGGTCCTGGCAAATTCGCCCCTTTTTCTTAATCTGTTTCCTACAGCCCCAGACTCAGGGTAGCAAGTCACAAATGCACATGCCCAATTTGGGCGTCCCAGCTGACTACCCCCCTTCCCCTGCCTCTCTGAGGTGCTCTTGGAAGCCCCCTGGCCTACTCCCCCGCCTCTCTCAGCCGAGGGCATATTCAGCAAACCGGCCTTATCACCAGGCGCCTACCCTTCCTTTGCCAAGCCCCCCTCCACCTGAGAAAGGCTCTCAGGACACCCAGCACAGGAGGGTGCTCCAGCCACAGGGCCTCCCACCTCCACGGCCACTGCAGGGGTTGACCCATCTCCACTCCCTCCCTCATCCTCTGCCTCGACTCACCATATACACATCCCTGGGCGGGGTGGGCGGTCGTGGGGGATGGGGGAGAGTAGAGAGTGGAGAAACTGTTGATTCACCAGTGCTGGAAGGAGCCTTCGAGAACATCCAGTCCGATGGTCTCATCGTACAGATGAAGAAAATGAGTCACGGAGGCCGGCTGTTGGCCAAGGTCACAGAGTTA